CTGCATTGATATACTGCTCACATTATTCTGATGTATTTGCCCTTTATGATTTTTCAGCCTCCCTTCCAGATTCCCGTGGTAGGAGGTGCTCCAGCTGGATCTTCCGTCCCCGCCCGAGGGAGAGATGAGGAGGGCAGAGTATTCCCCCGCTCCAAGGCGGGGCGCACTCATGCCGGGAGTAGTTCGCGGGCTCCCGTCCCTGATGATGACGATGATGATGATGACGAGTCGGAGGCGGAGGCAGAGTCGGAGGCGGAGTCATCGGAGGAGGAGACTGGAGGCGGCACTAGCTCGGGCTCTAATGACGATGCTGATGATGCTCCTGGACCTTCGTCCAGGAAGAGGACTAGGACAGACTGATAGCCCTCGGAGTCGCTTGACATAGATTTTTGTTATTTTTCTTCTTTCTTGTACGTTTCCTTTTTGTTGGTAGTTAGATTACCTTGTACTGCCGCAGACAGATTTTTGTTTTCCTCAAAACTTTGTACTTAAAAAAAAAGATTATGAAATGAACAAAATTTTTTGCTTAAAAAGTGTTACATTTACATATCTTATGTATTGCATCGCACCATGTTACACCTCAATGTAAATGGAATTGATTTGTGGTCTGAATGTTGAACACTTGCATGGTAATAATCAGATAACCAAACAGCCAAGTAACAGCAAAGCAACCCAAGCAACCACTGCTTGATTCTGGACACACAGCCCTTACTCTACTGGGGATTAATCCGCATGCAGCCCATAACACCGCATTCGGTTCATTCCGCACACAGCAAATCCTGAGTGAATGGTCTAATCTGACAAGACGGCCTTCAAAGGTGAAACCGGCTAGGGTTGAAACATGCTCAGATGCCCCAAATTTTCCCTTCCTTCTTTTGGTTCACCCAAATGTAGAGAATGGCACAACATTCTGAGCATAAACGATTTTTGAACTTAAATAAGGGTTTTCAACCGGGGTATCGAGCCTACAACCGGACACAGCGGGGAGGACTCAACAAAGGTACACGACCTAAACACAACGAGACACGCTCGGAAGAAACCTAAAGCAAAGGTTGAGGTAAACAAAACAAAAGATACGACATACAGACGCGTTAACGAAGGCGGAGGACCTCGGATCACGAGGAGCCAGTTCAATCTGGGTATTGTTTCCCACCCCCTTCTCATTTGTGATTTTCACATCGCTCTGGCACTCAAGCTCGGTTTTTCTCTCAAAACCCTTTTTCTCACTTTTCTCTCAACTCACATCTCTCTATTCTTCATTCTCTCATTTTTCGTCCCTCCCCAGGGTGATTAATGAATGAATAGGAAGTTGCGGGTTCATGCCCAATGCCGTTAGCCCACAACTATTTCTTCTGGTGGGTAGAGTGCTCTTCCGGCGACTATGTTGACGACCGGGGGGGGGAGACAAAGCGCCTGGCTCAACAGTGCCCTTAGTTCATCACTTTAACCATTCTTTGTTTTTGCTTTCTACTAAAACAGTTTTGATCAAAATGAGAGTCGGATTAACGTACATGTTCGATTTTTGATTTGAAAACCATGCAAGTCAGGCTGTAAGCACTGAAAATTTTCCTCTTTTGGGTCCAAGAAAATGGTCCAGTTTTGGAAAATGGAATAGTTTT